GGACAGACCCAACTACTCAGAGAGAACAGTTCATGTCCTGGAGCTATAGGATAAAAGAAAAGAGGGAACAATAAAAACAGGAGCAGTAATTTACAGAGGCAGAACTGGGATGCAAATGGAGCCTGACTCCTAAGCCCACGCTCCCAACCACTAAACCTCCCAGCCTGGTGCAAGGCACCAGGTGACGAAGCCATGGAGCTGGGGACAGCTTGGGCACCACCACTCACAATATGCCACCCTAAGCACATCCTCTCTCTGCCTCAGTTTCCTCCCTATGTGCTCACATAGTTCCTGAGAGTTAAATGAGGGAATCCAAAAATCAAGCTCATAGATCAGCATCTGCCATATAACAAATGATTCAATCAATTTTTTCCCAATATTATGAGAAAAACCTATCATTGGAGTCAGGAACTAGAATAGAACCAGACAGAATAGAATGAAAAGAAGTACTTTAACCTATGGATGAAAGGTAGACCTACAACTGCTGTAAGAATGAAAAGTCCTCTCCGTTCTAATGACCACAGAAGCTAAAAGAAAAGTTACACGCTAAACTGGAACCAGGTTACAAAAAAGAACTGGCCTCCATATAGGTGGTGGTGGGAAGGGCATAACATAACAGGACAAGGTGGTATGCTCAAGGGACTCCAGTGGGCCTGCCCTCTAGAGATGACATGGAAATCCAGCCCCTACGTGAGCACACAGAGAGCCACGTTAAGATTGCTGGCTACCGTCTACTAGTAGACATTTCAAGGTAAGAGCACAGGCCAAAGCCTGCAATCCCGCAGGCTCAGTTATCCAGGAGGAAAAACTTTGCACTTTGAATGGAGATGGGAAAGGTAACAGACCCTTCTGGCCAGGAAGACTTCTGTTCTAGAATGAAAACTGGGCTAATCATGGCCAAGGGTCGGACAGGCCCGCTGGGACAAACCTGGTCCCGTCCTCCTTGCTGAGCACACTCCCCAATGGCCTGAAAACAAAGACTACTTGCATATCTTCATTTAACAAAACTCCTAACGTTTAAATTAAGTTTGGAAACAAAGACCTCAGATAAGTCAAAGTTTTGACCTGAGAAGACTTACCAGGAAGAAGTCATAACACTATTCCTAAAACTAAGCTTGCCCCTGGGCTGGATGAAACAGGAAAGGGTGGCGGGTACTGACAATATGCAAGCTCATCTATGAAAATCAGTGTGTGTGAGCTCCTGGGTGGTAGAGGCACGGGCCGCCCACCACTTCTTCCTTACTGACCACATCCCAGGTTTTTTCAAGGCCACAATATACCACACTTAAACAACAAACAAACAAAACAAAAAAAACCACTACAGTGACCTCCTCCCCGACAGCATCAGGTGGCCGCGGGACAGTTCTGCAACTAAAATGGAGGCAGGGACCCTGGATGGAATCTCAGAGAACTCTAAGAGGAAGACTCCAAGCCACCAGGCTTAGCCTCTGTGGGTCGTCCTTGCTCCTCCCTGGAATAGGAGCACAATAGGGGGGTAGCACCGCCACCTTACAATGAGGTATTAAGAATGAAATGGACATGACATGCTGGGCCACCCCTTTGCCATGTGCTGGGAGTGTCAGAGAAGACACAGGAGCCTGGGCTACAGACTGCACCAGAGCCCCCATTTCATCCTGCCTGGCCAGTGATCCCCAGACTCTTAGCAGAGAAAAACAAAACCCTCATTTGGTTAATCCACTGGCTCTTCTGTGCAGCCAACTCTCCGTGTTGTAAAAGATCCGTTTGTTTTGCAAAAGTCTTTACTGAGGCAAGGAGCCATGAGCTACGAATTAATTTGATTTATAAATAACTTCCTGGCATATTCGTATACACAGAATATGCAGAATGAAACATACACACAAAGGAGGATTCTCCTCCACTAACACATAATCTGATAATTAAATCATGAGAATCCTAAAGGCCTACAGATGGCTAAGCTGAAGATTCTCTGTGTGTCTAGGCATGGCCTTTAGAAAAAACTCCTGAGAAGACAGACTGAGGCGGAATCTAACCAGTTGGGGTCAAATGCTGCTCTGCTACCCGCCAGCTGGGTGACACTAGTGTCCTGGTTTTCTCAACTACAAGATGAAAATAACAGTTCCTACTTCAAAGGCTGGTTGCGCATATTAAATGAGTTGCCATTCATACAGCACTTAGACCTATGCCTGATACAATACTAATATTTACTGAGCATTTATTAACATTATGAGAAAACTGAAAACTAGATGAAGTAATTCATTCTGCAGACAGCAACTTCTTTTCTAAGGCATGAAGCTGGCTTACAGTATCAACATGAGCTCAGCTGCAGATGTGGCCAGGCTTAGTTTTAAACCTCAGGCTTTCTCCATGGCTCATAATCACCACACTCATATCCACACAATACCAAGAGTGGCAAAGTCTACCTGAAGAGCTATTTATCTGGGGATGTATTTATAAAATGAGAGTTGGAAGGAGAGATTAGCAGAGACCACTAAAAATAGTCCTATAAGCAAACAACTTTGCATAAGTCAACAATTTATTAAAAGTCAATACCTGAATTATCATTATTATAAAAAAACATTCATATGCCATGCAGTCTGGAAGAATGTGGCCTCTTGTCACCTACGTCAGTCATACATTGGCTCCTTTCATCTTTTTTTAGATTCAAACAAAGAAAATATCCAGGTCTTTCTATGAGGTTGTACCTAAGGGTCCAAAAGTGCACAAGTATTTTGTATGAAGTTGCCAAGTGCTAGCCACAGGTATGTAACCTAATAAGTATCAAAGGTATTCAGCCACCCACACTGACTCTTTCAGGTCAATAGAAAACTCTTTCTAGATGAAAGCAACCTTGGCTCAGTCACAAACGTCAAGGCAATTGGATACCAAAAGCACATTTTAATCAGCTCTTCCTTTTAAATGCTAAACAAATATAACAACCTGTGAATTTACACTTCTCTCCCAATCCCAAGAGGGGCCAAAAGAAAAAAATAAATAAAAACACCAATGACAAATCTTAAGAGTGTGAAGATCTCACTCACAGCTTCTTATGTGCCCATTATCATTTTTCTTGTTGTACATTACCAAATAGGCTGGTAGAGACTCAGAAAAGTCAAGATGTAACCCTTTCGTGCCTCTAGAGCAGTATTGTCCAATAGAAATACAATGTAAGCCACAAATATGAACCATGGATAACCAAATTTTACTTAAGAAGGTAAAGATAAATAGGTCATACTAATTTTAATGACAAATTTAACCCAATATAAATCTATTGGGTTACTATCAATATGAAATAAATGTAAATACTATCAACATGCATGCAATAAGTTTAAAAATTACTAACAATCTAACATTCTTTTTTCATACCTAGTCTTCAAATGTCACATGCATTTTATATTTAGAGCACTTCATAATTCAGAATAGCCACCTTTCAAGAACCCAAGAGCCAGTCTGGCTATTGGCTACCATTACTGAACAGAGAGGTTCTAGAGGCCAAGTTGCTGAAATCACCAGTTTCTCATGCTGTCCTTGAGGATGGACATACAGGTGAAATCATCACCAGCTTGGTCTCAGCAGTTGCTAGGTGGGGATTTGGTAGCATCTTGAATGGAAAAATGTACTTCATTTCCAACTAGGGCACTGGCAAGTATATAGCTTTTAAGTCTACCCTGCAATGGCAATGCTATTTACCATTTGTCCAGACAAATGGCGGCACAGTATCCAAGTATTTGTTGTTTTCATCCTTGTTTCACCCAAGAATCCAGGAAATCCTGGTCACCCTTCTCAAGGAGGATGTATTCTTTCCCTTCCCCAGAGGAGCGGGAAATGGTCAGACATACCCAGAGCACAACCCACACACCTGACAGCCCATTCCAGTGGTCTATGACAGGCACAGGCATGAGAAATGAGATGATGGGTTTCCATGATGCTGCAGCCATGGGTGAGACGTTTGAAGATGAGCTGATCTTACCAGCATCACCTACCTCACAGGCCTACTGGGACGACCAAGGGCAATAACATAGAGCTCTTAGCAAATTGTGAAGCGCTATACAATTCTAGTTATTATTATTGAGAAAGGACACCATTCCTCACCTGAAAGAGCAGATAGAAAAGAAAAAAAGAAAAAGACAGTAACTTCAAACAGAGGTGCTGAAGTGGGGAGGGGGAACCCCTGAAAAATCTGCTGGTCGTTGGTGGACTTTGTTCTCTTGGAAGAGTACAAAGAGGTCTGAGAAGCCTCCAGCACCTTTTGCTGGGAATCTTGGGAGGCGCTAAAAAGTACAGACAACGAGGAGTAAACCCTTAGCCCTGTTTCGCCGCCCATCACCCACTGCGTATCCTCGCACAACTGAAGACAGGGCTTCAAAACAGACCTCTCCTTCCCAGGAGAAATGTGGCCTGAAAACCCTGCGCCACCGGGGGGTACTGGCGCCTTCCCCGAGCTAAAGTCACCGCCTCCCCGGGAGCCTCGGCTCTAGGTTTCTCTCCAGCGCAAACGCCGTGCTGCCGGCTCTACCGTCTTTTCCAACCAACACAGACAGGCTGGGCCAGGGCCGCGGTCTCCCTTTACCTGTCCAACCGCCCGGTCATGCCCGCGGACTGCACTGGGCAGGCAGCATTTACAAGGTCCAGCGATAGTCACCCACACAAAGGCGCCTTGTGCCTCTGCGCTCGCGGACGGGCAGCCAGGTTCCCGGGCACGGCACCCGGGCAGGCAGGGAGGGCGCCCCCAGCGCCAAGCCCCGAATCTCCATTCCTTATCCCCAGAGAAAGGCAACCCCTACTCCTGTTTTAAAGATGGGGCTCCCTTCGGTTTGCCACAATCCGCACCCCCGAAAGGAACAGCTCAGAGCTGGCACACACGAAAGGGGCGCAAAGGCCACTCGGCAGAAGTTTGCATTGTCACCGCGCTGTGCTCCAGTCTTGTCTCGCCTGCAGGAGGGGCTGGGCACCCCCTCCCCAGCTCCAGCCCGCCCCACTCCAGGGCTGCAGGACGCCGGGGGCCCCCCAGGTCCGCTCACCTCTAGTCCAGTCCACCACCTGTTTGGGGCTCCACTTGGTCACGGGTTCCATGGTAAAGGGCTTCGCTACCCGCTGGGCTAAGGGAGTCAGCGGTAAAGTGCTGCCTGCGCCGCGGCTCGTCCCCTGCGCGCCAGAGCGCCCCGTCAAGGCTGCATGGCAGCGGTCAACGGGTCATCCCGGCGCGGCTCAGTCAGGGGAGTGCGGCCCGGCTGCCAGCCCAGGGGACAGCTGCGCAGCTCCTCCTCCAACTGCCACAGTCCAGCTGCGCTCTCCTCCTTTCCCCGCCGCCGCCGCCGGGACCCCGGGCACAGCTGCTGCTCCTGGGCGACAGCAGTTGCGAGCACGCAGGGCTGCGACCCCAGACGCCTGGCCTCAATTCGGCCCGGGACTCTCTCGGCCTGGGACCGCTTCCTCGGCTCCCAGAACGCGCGCTCCGCTCCCCTTGGGCTCCTTCGGTGCGCCGTGTGCTCTGCTGGGTCCCCGCTCCGCGTGCGCTGGCGCCCGGAGCCTTCCCGCCCGCGGGCCCCACCTCCTGCGCCGCGCTCAGGGGCCGCCCTGACAGGGAGGAGCGCAGAGCGTGCGCGCTCGGATTACAAAGTTTCAGCTCCCGGTGTCGCTACCCGAATAAAAGAGGGGGCGGGGCAAAGACCCGGGAGACACTCCTGGGAGGGGAGGATCCGACTCTGGTTACTTTCCCTGGTTAAGCCCGGAGAGCGCACACCCTGAGCGTCCCGGCCGTACTTTCCTTTTCAAGGGGCGGGCTGTAGCTCCAGCGTGCATCCTGGAGAGCCGGTTGGCTCGCGTGAGGCCCTGGTCCTATTGGAGCAGAACAGTCTCTGAACGTGAACAACAGTACACTTAAAAAAAAAAAAAAAAAGAAGGGCCAAAACGTCCGGTCCGTTAAAAATGTTTCGTATCACAATATTGCTTTTCCATTCCGCTGTCCTCGTTACAAGTGGAATTATTTTATTTATTTTTTGTATGAAAAGATGACAATGTAACGCTATTGCAGTATTTCAATTTCTCAAATTAATCTCTGCAGATTGGCAGCTCTTCACGTTACACTTTGCCATATTATAGTATTCATATTTGCAAAGTGAGCTAAGGCTCATTTAGATTAGTCATTAACCTTGAGGGGGAAATTGTTAGCCAGCCAAGAAAAAAAAAAACAGTGTGTGCATAGTTTCAACGACTAGGGAAGAGCCCTTCCACATTCGTGAGTATTCAATCTGGGACCAGAGCTAACACTAAACTGTGAAAATCCTAAATAAAGACCGGGAAACTTGCCTATATCTCCTTCAAGCCCTCCCTATTCTGCCTTCCAAACATGCATAGAAGTTTTCTTGGCCCTTAGTGATTCTTCCTTTCAATTACAGGTATTGATTTACATTTTGCCTTGGCAACTGTAACCCCTTAAAGGTTGAACCTCCTTCACATTATATAGAGCTTTTTCTCCTCTTCCTCTTCCAACCAACTAGCTCCTAGCATCTAGTACAAGGGTATAGCTAATATTTATTCATTCAGTAAATATCTGTGAATGCTGGCCATGTGCCAGCCACTGCATTAATTCACTATTTGTTGAAGTAGGATAATAGGTACTATTTAGCCCATGAGGGAAAGAGGGCTAGCACCTAGGCATCTGTTGTATAGTGTGATGAGCTAGATCAATAAAGCAGAAGACACATTAAAGGAAGAAAAACATCAGCCCCCCTCTCATGCAGTGTATCTATAGGACTGAGGAACCACAGCAACACAGATATACAGCTATCAAACACAATAGGGTTGTTGTTTTGTGCAAGAGTGATAGACCGGGAAACTTGGCAAAGTCAATGATAAAATTCCTGATAGAGTAGTTGTCCTAAAAAAAAAAAGAAAGAAAGAAGGAAAAGAAAGAAAGAAAGATCTTTGAAATCATCCATTGTTAACTTTATGGCAGTTAAGTAGGAAGATGCACCTGGACATTTGTTCACTGGAAGATATGACCAATCTCATCCATGCCTTTATTTCCAGCAATCACTACATGCTATGCCATCAGTGATTATGATTCGGGTGACCACATACTTTATCTCCAAATCAAAATATTCCTGGTATTGATAATTAAGTTATTGATAATTAGATTGGAATAAGATAAACTAGGCCATATAATCCCTGTAATTATGGAGGGGGGGAGAAGTCAAGTGCTGGTGATTTCGCCATAGTGTTGATGCTTTTATCAAGTGTTAATACTTTCAAACTGTTTTCAAATTCATTTACAGTAGTCTTTACTGAAGAGTTAAAAAGCTAAAATTTGGGATTTTATCCAGCTGAATCAACATACTGTCTACCCTCAGTACATAATCCAGCATAGCTAAAGAGGAAGGCTTGCTAAAATCCCTAACCAGGAAGGTCAATTAACTATCTAAATGAATTAACATTCTGTTTACACTTCAAGTCCTGCAGGCTAATTATTATTTAAATAAGAACTTCTACCTTAATTACAGCTCTTAGCATGTGAAAGTTTTAGGGAGGCCTGACTTTATGTGTGAAATGCAAATTTGAAAATATAGAAAGTCTCTACAGGCAAACAATAAAGGCAGAGTTCTAGGTAAGTAGAATTGGAAATTAAAGTGTATAAAAAAAGATGATTTATAATTTGCCTATTTTTTCCTCTCTGCTAACTATAATCATAGTTACAATGTTACCTTGTATATACACATGGTACCAAACTGCCTCTCTGCAGCAGAACTCTTCTGCTTTACACCTTGATACCACAATTCCTTGCACAAACAAGGAATGGCATATAAGTTTTTTGCTTTTTGTTTTTTTCGGGGGGTTTTGTTTGTTTGTTTAGTTGAATGAATAAAAGAACTAATGCTAGGACCAGGGTATCCTAGAATTCTCTTTCCTGCTGCTTTATTTTTTCTGACCTTGGGCTTCCTTGCACATTTAGATCATTTATTCAATCAATCAAATATGTTGTAAGGATCTGTAAAGCATCTACTCAAAGGGGCACAAGGAGGTCAGAAATGAATGCCCAGTGGCTTTCATAGATCTCGTAACTTTCTGAGGGAGGAGCAGTTTCTTCTTCAATCAGAGGAAATCTGATTTTTCTTGCCTTGAAATTCAGAAAAGAAGTTTTTGAGGACAGATGTGATATTAACAATTTGAGCCAGTCTAAAATTTATTATTATTTTATTTGAGAACTAGGAATGGAGCATTTTTGGATTAGTGACTATTACTATAATTTTTTTTAATAAATACAGGAATAGCAAAAGACCTGGCCCCTTCCCCAGCAAAGCAATGCTTTTCAGAATGAAAAAATAAATAAAATAAATGTAAGCTGCTCTAATGGCCAACGTTTTCTCTAGGGCCCTTCTCTTGATGATCCTTTTTCCCCCACAATATTGCTTGTTGTTGTTGTTGTTTTCAAGAACATTTTTCATCATTTAATTTTTTTCACACATAAATGGCCTCACGTTATGTCTCATTTGTTATCTTTTAACTTGAGAGATACCAACAGATTCTGCAAATTGCTGCCTGGGAAATATCCTACAGTTGGAGCTTAGCATTCTTATCTATGACATTACCTCACTACAAAGTCATCAGTTAACTAAATTATCCAGGCTGCAGATGATCTTGTCTTCCACTCAACTCCATTTGGTCTGGCTTCTTCACACTGTAGTAATGGAGTTATCTCCCTAAACATACCAGGTTTCCATCAGACAACTCAGGTAGTGAAGTTCTCAAACTTGTTCTCATTAAACAAATGCTGCCTTACTTATTTGAATTCTTTTGATCATTCAGGTCCCTTAATGAAGTCATCCTGCAGCAGGAAAACTGATATTTGCCTTTCTTTTACTGAGTTTGCAACTAACTCAAAGATCAATGCCAATTGGATAAAGTTCCAAAACCTCACCTATTTTAAATCATACCTACAGAAGTTGATTACACTTTTATAATAAAAGGAGGAACACAGATGCTGTTCAATCCTATGTTCAAAGATCTGAAGCTGTATTTTGTTGTAGAAGGTAATATCTACAGAAAGTGTTGAGTTTTAAGGGACAAGTGCTAAAGCAGCTGAGGAGCACACACAGCAGAGACAAAGAAAGAACAATCAGCCCTGCATCCCTCCCCCGGGACCTGGGACCTGCACTCTTCTTGCAGCTATCAGGTTGCAGAGTGTCCAGAAAGAACGGAATGCTATTCCCCTCAGTTGTTCTAGTAGTTTCAATTTAACTTTATGGAACTCATAATCTCTGAACAAGTAAATAAAATACCAAGAGTTCTGTGTTGATAGTGACAAAGGATTGAGTGGAAAAAGATTAATGAAAGTCATTCTAGACCTAAAATTAAAAGTCATTCAATTAGGCCAAGTGAAGTTTTAAAATAAAACACAGCTTTGAGTGCAGTAAACACACTAAGCTAAATTGTTTTCAGTTCTCTACATTATTAACAAAAAAAGACATAAAAATGACTGTTTATATTTGTCTTTTATATTTCTCTAACTTGAATTTGGCATATCGGAAATATTTTATGTCATTTCATATCAATAGACATATACATTCAAATACATTAAACTATAATTAAGCAGCTTTAACAAACCCTGAGTACCATCTAAACATTGCTTGCTTTCCTACTGCTTAGCTAAAATTGTATGTAGAGCAAGAAATTTCTAGTTTCCAGCTACACGAGGAGTATTTAAATTCTGCCGCCACTACTAATCAACACATCCAGATTTGCACCAAAAGCTCATTTATGTTTCCCATTTCGGATCCTTAGACATGAGAGCCTACTGTAACAGGACTCTGTTCCTTAATTTTCCAAAATAGCCCCTTACATTTAGATATACTGTCTCCATTTAGGATTGGGGAGAAGTGGAAAGAAAAAGAACATATTAAAAAAGCAGCAAGGGTTTCTGCCTACTCCAGCATCAGAAGGGACAGGATTAAAATTAATACCAATCAGTGTTTTCCTCTCAGGAGTCACAGAATTCCATAGGATTTTGAGAGTATTCCCAAAGGTCTAATTGAGCAGGAGAACTCACACTTGCTGCCAAAAAATCAGCAATATGGTGCTTGAGACCCACAACCAGCTCACAAGAGATGGCAACAGTAACTGTTATCATCCACATGCTCTCCATTCTGGAAAAATTCCTCCAGTTTTTTTTTTTTTTCCCCCATGTGGGTCTCATATAAATTGTGCCTTTAGTGACAGGGGAATGGGTTTATCTCCATTCCTTTTCTACTTTCTCCTCCCTTTTCTTGGACTTAGCCCCAAGGAAGCTGCTTTGGTGGGAGCAGGGAGATTCTAGGCACTGGGGGAGCCTCAGTTAAGGGCCAAGGGAAAGTTCTGTGGAGGTCAAACCTCAGTGCCTGGTTTCCAGGAAAGCTCTGCTGCAGGGTGGAGAAAATCCAGGTGTGTCCTGAATAAGAGTGGTGACAAACTCAGGCCTTCTTCATTCTATCAGGCCCCCAATTGTGTCCCCTCTGGGTGTCACATACTGGCCAGTCAGGTGGAGCGAAGACTATGGTATCCAAATATGAGGCCCGCCTCACCTGGGAGGAGATCTAGTTGTCCTACCTTCTCACCTTCTCTTC